TCCCGGGATCCTCCCGCAGCGACGCTCCAGGTGGCGCTACCGGAGCGCGGGGAAGCGCGTCCCTGCGCTCCCTGCAGCATCCCGGAGCATCCCTGCACATCTGGGCATCCCTGCACATCTGGGCATCCCTGCAGCGGCGCAAGGCCCTGGCACAAAGCACCAGAAGGCCGAGGAATCTCCACTTCCCAGCGCTGCCACCGCTGCTGCTGCTTCCCAGCACAGCCACCGGGCCCGAGAGTCCCAGCGGAGCCGCACGGGGATCTGGAGCCGCGCGGGGAGGGACCTGCAGCCCCGCGTGGTGACGGCTGCTCGAGCCAACCCTCCTGCCCCCAGCAGCGCCCACAGAGCTCGCGGGGCGCTCGCCCGTGCGCATGAGTCACAGCAGCCGTGCAAAAGCAAAAATAAACCCTGGTGAGCGCCGCAAAGCCCTCGCTCTGCATCGCAGCACAGCTCCTCGCAGCAGTGGCCTGCAGGGATTGCGCCCGCACGAGCTTTGGCGCGCAAGGCTCAGGATCTGACTGCACACGGGGACGCGCACCTGCACGGGCAGACCCGCAGGGATACAGGGCTGCACATGCATGCACATGCTGCACACACACACAGTGACACGCATGTGCACACACACCGTGACGCACAGCCGCACGCGATACACACTCAGTGACACACATGTGCACGCACACTGTGACGCACGGCCGCATGCGATGTGTGTGCAATGACACCTGCACAAAATGACACTCTGCCCTCCACCCCCTTGGCCTTGCCACCTAGAGAGCCACATGGCTAGTGAGCAAGGGGACAATTAGCCCCAGCCCATGAGGGGACAGAGCAGCAGCCTCAACCACCTGGCTAAAACACCCACCCTGCCAGGCCCCAGAGCGCGTCGTCGCTGCCGTCATGATCTTCCTCCACCTTTCTCCCCCTCACTGTGTTTTGCCTGGGAAATTGGGTCAAAAGCAGGAGCCACCGCAGGGCTGATGGGGCCGGGACTAATGGAGCAGCTCCGGCCATAGCCCTGATGCTGGCAGAGGCGCAGTGGTCACAGCCGAGAGTCGGGGACCTGGGGCACACGGAGCCACCCCTAGGGCACTGGTCCCTGGCCACCTCCATGGGGATGCTCATGGATGGCAGCGAGGTGGAATGTCCGCGAGATGCCATGGGAATGGGGCACGGCAGGGACGTCCGGTGTCACCATTCCCGGTGACCTCTGTGCAGGAGGGAGCGCAGAGGACGGAGCTGGTGGAGGGCGCGGGAGCCGGGCTGGGCTGCGGGAAGCGGAGGGGGAAGGGAGGGAGGCAGTTGCCATGGAAACAGAAAATAAAATCAATTCCTGCTGCCGCTGGCTTGGAGGGAGGCTGAGCCGGGGGGCACCATGGCCCTGGCACCACAAGGGCCCGGCCGGGGCTGGGGGAGCTCCCACCCGCTGGCTG